TATCATTATCCATAGGATGCAAATTATAACCTGTATAAAAGTGAAAAATAAAACAGTGAGTCTCTGTTGTGCCGGCCCAAACCATTTCATCATGTTATTACCTGGAAGTGTAGCTTTAAAAGCCATCAAAACCACTATTGTTTTTCCAAGAATACAAGAGATGCAGAGCACAAAGGTGATGCCAAATGCTGTGTGTCTCAGCTTACAGGACCAGTTAGTAGGCTTACCAATAAATGTTAAAGAACACAAGAAACAGAGAGACAAGGAAAAGAGCAGCAAGAAACTTAATTCAGAGTTGTTTGCTTTCACAAGTGGAGTGTTCTTATTAGATAAATAAAGTGTGGATACTAATAAAGTTAGCAACAGACCGAACACACTGAAAATCAGCAATATTTTTCCCATAACCTCATTAAAAGAGAGAAACTCAACGTCTTTTGGTATACATGCATCTCTGTTCTGATTGGACCAGTATGCTTCAGGGCACTTTTTGCAGTCAATAGAATCTGTAATAGAAACAATAGATTTTCTATTAATGTTTCAATCAGTTATACCCTTATAATCTTTACAACTGACTGTATCATTAACAATTTGATCATGATACACACACTTTGGCATGCAAGGAGTGTACTCATGCTATAATTTATTTTTGTGGTACCTATAGAGTTGCTAAACTCCCCGACTGCACAGGCTATACAGTCAAAGCAGCACACAGGTTTTCCTTTCTGAAGGACTTTATGGGTTCCTGGACGACAGCTTTTACTGCAAACTGAAACAGGCAACTGTAATGATGAAAAAAAAGTGTTTAGTTACTCATTATTTTATATAAAACATGTTTGATCAGATTTTACTATCAGCAAAAGTCTTTACCTCCTTAGTGCCCTGGGGCCACATTATTGCCTCTCTGTCTAGTACAAACCTCTTCCCAGAGGTAAGTGAAGCATCATAGTAGCCAACAGGTTTAAACTGAACGGTTTCATTTCCTCCATACTGCCAGTTTACGATCTCATACCTGGCAACAGCAGCTCCAGTGTTATCAAACCACACTTTGTCACCATTCTTAATAGTGAAGTTAACATTTTTCAAAGCCTCTACTACCTAAACAGCAAAAAAAAATACATATTTGATTTTTTTTGTTTCGTTTATCCACCTGTTCCCCAAACAGTGCCTACAAAGTTATGAATTTTTTATTTATTTTTTTACCTCCCATGGCTTGACCTCCACTTTCTTTTTACATGCTTGACCTATTGAGCAGTTCAATATACTATGTAAAGAATATGCTAGGGCATAGATGGCTTTATAGATATTAGTAGAGTATCTTAGCTCCATCACGTCATCCTCATTATCTCTGAGCTCCATGATATCCTTGTTTTCTTTGCATTTTGTCAGACTTGCCTTGTTATTTTTCTGATTACAAGGAAAACCTGTTTCCCAAAAGCCTCTGACAAGGAATTCTTCCAACCCGCTGATATTTGCCTTTTGAACAGCAAATCCTAATGCACCTCCCAGCACTCTATAGCTAGTAGGAGTCACAAGGCTGTCCGCAGTAATCCAGGCTTCCACACCAATGAACTGACGTCCAGTAATGTTGTGAAGACTCAATTGCTCTAGCAGGTTATTCATTTCTACATGAGCAAGAAATGCAACAATCACCCGAGCAGTGCTTTTTTTAATCACTTCTACAACTTTCAGGAGCTTTTTTGGCTCTGCCCTGTCAAATTTTTCTGTGTATTCCACACACACACCCTCCTCTTCTGCTGCAGAGAGAAATATGGCCATCCCATTGTTGCCATAATCACTGTCACTGTTAACTGCTCCAACCCAGGTCCAGCCAAAGTTTTTGACCAGCTGTGCTAGGGCACGGCTTTGATAGAGATCACTTGCAATCGTTCGAAAAAATGAGGGGTACTCCTTTCTATTGCTCAAACACTCACAGGTGGCTGAATGGCTTATCTGTGAACACAAAGCGGAGCACTGCAAGTAAAAAAAATGACTTTGCGTATGAAAGACACACAAATAAGGACTGGTTTCCTTCTTACCACTGGAATCTGAAATGGCCCAATAGTGCGGGTAAGGACAATAGTTGAAGAAGATTCAGACTCTCCAATAATAGCATGAACAGCTGATTGTCCAGAGCAGCTTTTTCCCAAAGTCAACTCTTCACCATTCATCAGAGCCATTACGGCACGCATTGATGATAACGTGGATGCACAGTTGTCATAAATCCGATATCCAATTGAGATATTAGGAAGAAGATCCTGGTTTTCATTTATTTCTTGAATAGCAAAAATCATTGTCTGGGCAAATCGAAACTCCCTTATGTTAATACTGAGAAAACACAAACTCATTACAAAATTACATTCAAAAGCCAAAAAGCATATCAAATATTTTTGTGCTTAGCTCATATTTACCTGGTACATTGAAGTATTTTGGGCCTCTCTGTAAAGAAAAGTGAAGGTTGTGTGATTGTGCTGTGGATAGAAAAAACACCTCCAATTGTCAAATCTCCTTCTTTTGACAGTACAGGAAACTCCGGATTTGTCTGTATCTTACAGAGAGAAACAGGCTCCCCAACTGCCTTGTATACAAACAGAATCCCCATAATAACTATGTCTCTTAGTAAAATTGACATTTTTATAAAAGTGTATCCTACTAGGAAAGAGTTACCCTTGTCAAGACTGCAGTTTATTATATATAGATGACAGCAAGACTCCTCCCCGATATTTACCAATCAAAAAAAACATGGGATGGCCTTTGATGGAGCTTGTAATAGTGTTATTCTTAGAGATCATTGTGACGATTAATTAGACATCTGCTTGTTTTTATTAAAAGCAATACAATGAGATGAAATTAATAAGTAAATAAAAGCAATTAACACAGGGGTTCAGTTTATAAATGTTTGTATTAATTTATAAAGGTTTTTACAGTGTCTAAGCTTTCCAAGGATAATCTATGCATTTAGATATTACACAGCACAGAATTTCAATTCTTTGCTGGGTTTCAAAAGAAAACAAATGTTTGTTTTTTTTGGTTTTCCCTAGCTAAGCAATGGCTGTATAAAAATTGCTACCAAAGTAAACTTGACCATATCTTCCCTTTAGTTGGAGCAAAAACTCTCTTTCTAGACCTCAAGTGTATATTGTATGGGTTCTGAGTGAATATATATA